TGTTTACCTTAGCTCAGGCAAACAGAGCTCTGACATGTCAGATTGTGAAAAACCCTGAGTTTCCTTTAAGTAAATTTCAAGAATATCAATCATAGGTGAATACAGAAAAATTTTCACCATTAATTATCTTCCCCTCAAATTCTTTTAGTATATATACCAAATTCATCCCAGGCAAAGGTTGAAACTGTATATTTTATTACTGACCTTTTCAGCTCAACAGTACTAATAAATACTTTAAAACAACCATTTGCAGCAAAAACTGAAAAATAAAGTTTATTTTATTACTAGTTTTCATTGAGTAATATATATCATACACGATAAAGTTCTACTTGTATGCTCAGGCTATGAAAGGTGGCTGCTGCTGAGCTGAAATTTTAGTCTATTTGTACAACTTCAAACCTGAATGTCTATTCTTATTTTCTTGAAAGCTGGTAAACTTGTTAAGTACTTTCCAATGATCCTACCCTTTAGAATTACTTGGTGTCTTAGATTCTAGCTAATTCTGGCTTTTTAGTAAGCTTCAGTTTCAAAATACTTGATTTGTTTCATTTCTAAAGTTTTACTTTTTCAGTACAGTGTTTCTATTTGCCGTAGAAGTTTTAGGTTCAGGAAAAAATTTTTTTCCTTAAATTTGCATGCTAAATTTCCAGCTGTAATATTTGTTCAAAGAATAAAAATAATGCATAAATGAGTCATAGAGAATTAAATATTGCATTCAAGTGACTTCCAAAGATTCGATGAATTTCCTTTCAGTTGCTCAAAACAAGTCTTGATTTCCCTGTCATTATTTAAAAAACTCAGAAAACCATTTTGTGTGTTATATGCATTAAATATATAATATATATATATAATATATATATATATATGCATGCCAAGAACTTCTTAATTCCAGTCCTTAAGACAATATAATGCCCAAGGTAAGGGCCCTAGACATGACCCAGTGACATGGGGCATGTTTATAATTTCCTCACTCAGGTTTTATTCAGTTAATGAGTTACTTATTAGGGCAAAGGTCTAATATGCCACCTTCCTCTTCTACTCTTTTTTCCATAATAAAACACCTCATCATACCTATAGTGAAAAAGGTGATGCTTTTGATTGGATACTAAAACCGTTCATTCGTACAGACCTTTGCTTATGTGCCAACTAGGTTCTGTGGTTGCCTAAGCAATATTTAGTAAAGACCTTGCAGGCGGTCAGTTGATCCTGAGACTAAGTTGAATAACAGGTAAATAAAAGTCCTCTAATAATTTCCTAAATTTTAATTAAACCCAGAGTCATTCTGTTCATAGATACAGAACAGTTCTCAGAGGCAGTTATATTTATGCAGAGACGTGGTTCTCTGTCCACATGTAGAAAATTTATGCTGGACTGTGTTTGTAAAATGATAAAGCATTGTTTGGCTCTATTCATAGGCTATATTTTTGTTCATATGGAAAATTAAATAGAACAATTTTTTATTTGCCTCTATTATAAGCTATATTTTTGTTCTTATTAAAAATTAAATAGAACAATTCCACTCAGGTACAGCAGTGGAGCCTCGTTACATGTTGTCTAAGTTCTGCTGGCCACAAGTAGCTTTTTGGAATTCACTTCATACCTTCAGTTTGAAGATTTATTCCCTAAAACAAATATATTGTGTGCTTTTTTAAAATTAGCACTTTAAAAATTCACAAATAGTAAAATTGTCTTTACTGTGAAACTATTAACTTTAGAATTCATAATATATACAAGTAGATTTTCTTTTTCAAAATGCATCTGTGTTAGGATATTAATATTTGCTTCCCTTTTAAAGGAATCAAAAAATTCAATATTTACTACACTAAGAACAATACTTATTAGCTTATTTCATTTACTGAGTTGGAAAGAATTAGGAGCAGGCCTACAACTTGTAGGTTAACTCACTTACAAATATCCTTTACCTTAATAGATGGTGTTGTTATGCTCATTTTACATGTGAATAATTAGAAGTTTTAGTTTTCCACTAATAAACTCTCATTATATAATTGTAACAGAAAAGGATACTTAACCTTAAAAAAAAGGCAATTATTTCAAGATATACATTTGTTTAGACTGTTTTTGTTATATAGACATACCTATAAATTGTTTTTTTTCTAGTATATTTAAAAAAATAATTTGGTTAAGAGCTAACTGTTGTACCTGATGTTTTTTATTTGTAGTTGAATTAATTTTACTCTATTTTACTCTTCCTTCTCCCCATAATAAACTGTTATTTTATATACCATCCAATATTGCTATTTATTTCTGAGTTTGTCCTCTTAGTAAAGTTCAGGCATCTTGAGATTTGAGAACATGTTTAATTAGTGCTTAGTTAGGTCTTGGGCATAGAATATTTTCTTGAAAAATACTTGCAGAATTGCTCTGAAGTTTAAATGGAATTGCAATTTTCCTGTTAGAGAAAGATAAGTCTGAGATGTCATTTTAAGAGGTTAACTGGCTGTTCAGTATGGGTCTTGGAATGCCGGTTGAGTATAAAAACTATAATGGTCAAGAAAACTGTAATATTCATCTTGGCCACTAAGCACAGTTCTGTGCTAATAACTATATGAGAAGCCATCTTAAAATTGGAAGGTGGCTTGTTGAGCATAAAATCAGAGTAAGCAGCGTTGTCGGATGCGCTAATTGACTATTGTCATCGAGGGAAGGTAGCTTGATGCATCTGTCTGTTTTAAGAGATTAATATCAATGACGATTGAATTATAAAGGGGGAAGTCAGGGAACCTTTTCTCCTGGATGGTCCTGGAAAGGTGTTACTAACTTCTTCCTTATCTACCCCTATTGCAGGCTTCATGCAAAATATGCCTCTTCCATTAACCTAGTACTTCTTCATACAGGTTAGAGTTTAATTGATTGCGCTTTAGCTTTAGTTATGATATTTCAATCATACTCTTAAGTCCAGACATTTTAATTGGAATTTGAGATGAGTGGTTACTAGAGCAAATCATGCAATTCACAGATTAAATTTTTGGTTAGGTTATTTCTTCAGGTAAGTTTTCTGACTAATGCACTGTATTTCTCCATAATTTCTTTTCAGGAATTTGCTCTCTTCCTTGTTTAGCTACATCAAGGTTTATAGAATAGAAAGACCTGTTCAGGATTTTTATAATGTTCAAGTTCAATATTCCATTATAAAATTGTAGGCATAATGTTAAAGGCATCCTAACTCGAGCAAAAGGCAACCTCATGGAGGGAAGAGTAACCTTCCTATATAAAAGCTGGTGAGGGGTGGTGTGTGTGTGTTTTTTTAAAGTGCTTTATATAGAAAACAAAAATATTTTTCTGTGACTAAGTACAGTTATGTTTGGCCTCCTATCCTAGTTCTCTTTGTTCATAGCATAGGCGGCATCTCTCTTCACATTAGCCTATAAACAAGAATTTATTTTATGTCATACTCTAGTGGCTCAACGAGTAGGTATAATGGGAGGCCTTCTACATTTCCAACAGTCAGGAAAACAAGTTGTTTCTCCCTGACTTCTCCAGACAATGTAGCATTTTGTAAAGAACAGGGCAAAAGGTTGACTTCATTGGAATATTCTGTACTGGGCTGTGTGGTCTTATTCATTTACTCAGTTTCTCTGACCCTCAGCTTATTTTCTTTTTTTTATACAATAGCCTTCACAATAATACCTCTCTTTTAACTTAATGTGAAAGTGCTTTGTTTCTAATGGGATATTAGGGAGGAAAAAATCTTGCATTCCTGTCATCAGTCCTAACTTTATGATGCATTTTGATAATCACTGGTCTTTTGCAGTGATTCTTATCATGTAAGAATATTTGCCTTTTACAAACTTTTAAAATCATATAACTTTGAGTATAGTAGTCTTCGGGGAATTAAATCTAGTCAGAGATAGTTTATTCTATTTTATTCATATGATCAAATTATAGCTGAAATTTATTGTCAAACAGCAATGGGAAAGCTAAACTGCAAAGTTCAGGGACTAAGTTATGAAGAGTTTATGGAGTTTTTTCCCCCTCATATTATAAAGGGTCTAAGGTTTTTTGTTTGTTTTTGACCTTACCTACTGTATGTTATGGATCATAATCGCTAGAAGAAATAATGTGCAAGTAAAGTCTATGATTAAGAATATTTATCTTTATTGTTGATAGAAATCCATTATTTTGTATTTATGGTTAAAGATTGTAAGGTTTTTATTTTTTTTAAGATAAATAAGGCACCGAAATCACATTATTTGCTTTTAAATGTGTATAACATAGTTTTTGAGTCCCAAGCACACTGCAATATTTGCACTGTCATCTCTCCTCGACTTTAGTGAACTCTGAAAGAAAGAGCTGAATTACATTTTTTAGGACACTTAATGAGCAAAACTAGACACATAGGAAAGGCTGGAGAATTTCCATGTGAGCGGAGAGCTACCTTTTAAAATATATAACATAGTATATTCTCAAATGGAAATGTTTTAAATTTACTGTTTGCCAGTCATTGCTGGAGTGTCTGCTTAGGGGACAGAAGGATTATTTTAATATGATTTCTGACTAGTGGTCTTTGACTTAATTCCAAATATAAACATGTCTGATAGTTTCTTTCCGGGAATATTTGAAGGCATAATCCCATTTTTTTTTTTTTTTTTGTCTGTGCTGTTCTGTTGACTGTGTTTTTATTTTCTCAGTGTATAGTGATTCCATAGAAGGAGTAACTTTTAAGAACCTGAAATATGAAAGGCTATCAGGTTGATATGAAAAAAAGCCTTTTAAATAACAAGCACGGTACAGATAAATGCACATGAGTGGTAGTCCTGGTGAAAGAATACAACAGGGTAAACATGAGATTTTTATTATAAGTATTAAACATAAAAATGTAATTTAACTATTATAAATTATTACCAATTAATGGAGGATGAATATGAAGCACAAATGTAACTTTTGGAACTTTCAAGTCATCATTCATGTATATATATATTTATATTTATATAAATATTTTGGTATTATATTTATCTAACATTTTCTCTTTTATTCAACAGAAATCTTCTTGACAGAGACACATTTTCTAAATCTGATCCAAGTAAGTACCTATTACTTGCTTTTTTTTTTTTTTCGGTACACGGGCCTCTCACTGTTGTGGCCTCTCCCGTTGCGGAGCACAGGCTCGGGACGCGCAGGCTCAGCGGCCATGGCTCACGGGCCCAGCTGCTCCGCGGCATGTGGGATCTTCCCGGACCGGGGCACGAACCCGTGTCCCCTGCATCGGCAGGCGGGCTCTCAACCACTGCGCCACCAGGGAAGCCCTATTACTTGCTTTTTGAAATAGTCAACTTATTTTACTTGATTTTTCAAAAAGTTGTTTGAAAATCATAGTTCTTATTTAAATATTTGTTTTGAAGCCTAGAGAGCAAGATGGAGTATAGTCTTAGGCCCTGCATTCTCATCTACCTGGGCAGTACTCTGGCAAAAGAGAGGGAATTGCTTAGCATTTTGAGAATAAGATGACAATGCAGATGACTGCAATGTAGGACAGTTCACTTTGAAATTAAACCTCATCGTATAGCCATATGGTAGAAATTATCTTTGAAAGACAACTGTAATGGGCCATAATTTTATGATCAAGTCAGAATAATTATTTTCCTTTTTTTGTGAATAAATGCAGTATATAAAGGCATGTACAACCAAGTGAATTATATAATATCTTGAATGAGCTGAAGTTTTTGATTCCTAATTATATATATTGAAAATTGGAGATAAATTGTAAAATGAGACAGTTTAAATTAGAAAACAACAGAAATAATGTATAAATCAAATAGTGAGTCCAAATCTTGTAATATTTAGAAGCTGATATCCAGCAGCTCTCCATCTCTACAGATGTGTGAACCTGTGTGGTTTAACTACAGGAGAGAGGTTTTGTCAGTTGACAGAAGAATTCTTGAGGTAGTCACTGGAGAAAAGGCATTAAACTTTGTGGGTATTAAAAATTCCTGGGGCCCATTGACAAGTGGGTGGGATATTTTTATAAATTAATCTTTACCCCAAACTCTTAATCTCCCTTTTTTGCAACTTCCTTTTGTGGTTCATAGGATTTCTTACTTGTTTACAAACATTGAGGATAGGAGTTGCAAATATTAAATGTGGCATATGATTTGCTCCAGATATCCTGCCTATGATGGTTTTGAGCATTGTAAGTATCCTAGGAAGAGCTTGACTTATGACTGGTAACATACTGAAATATTTCAAACTGTTTAACCTTAGTTAAAAGATTTTTTTATCTATATCTGTAGCATAATGCAATTGAAGACATTAGCAAATAATTGTTATTTTTTTTTGTGCCTAGCTCTATACATGCTAAGTTCTAAAGACCTGATATTGTTTCTTGCTTTTTTATAAAAAATTTTCATCATGTGATGATTTATTAGCAATTTTCATGCCAGAGTAAGGCTAGGAACTAATTTTAATATAGCTTTTGTACAGCTGAAAAATAAATTGGATATATTTATATCTGATATTTATAAAAAACGTTTAGATATATTTATTTTTTCATCTTTTGTAGTTTGTGTCTTGTATGTACAAGGAGTTGGAAATAAAGAATGGAGAGAGGTAAGAATCTGAATTAAAAAAATTGTGCTGGAAGACATGGTATAAGTTATAATGTGATCAAGATGATACTTTCCTGTTTTTAGTTATTTTAGTAATTTTCTTATAGATTTATTTATTTTTATTTATTTATTTTTGGCTGCATTGTGTCTTTGTTTCTGCTTGCAGGCTTTCTCTAGTTGTGGCGAGCAGGGACTACTCTTTGTTGTGGTGCGTGGGCTTCTCATTGTGGTGGCTTCTCTTGTTGTGGAGCACTGCCTCTAGGCATGCGGGCTTCTGTAGTTGTGGCACACAGGCTCAGTAGTTGTGGCTTGCAGGCTCTAGATCTCAGGCTCAGTATTGTGGCGCATGGGCTTAGTTGCTTCACGGTTTGTGGGATCTTCCCGGACAAGGGCTCAAACCCATGTCCCCTGCATTGGCAGGCAGATTCTCAACCTCTGCACCACCAGGGAAGTCCTTCAACCCAAAGATTGAATTTCTTTTTTATTTTATTTCATTTTAATTTGATGAAAGCAATCTTTGTGTTTTGTTCTTAATAATCCTTAATGTTTAGCTCATTTATGATCTTTCTGTGGAATAATCTAGCCTTGAATTTGTATTTTCCTCAGTCTTACATAAATTTAATGTGATCCAATTCTTACATAATTGAAGTTTGTGGTTTTAGTCTCACTTTTTGAGGTCAACTGCTGATTTTATAAAATATTGCTTTAAAGCGTTTTAAAAGTGATATCAATTATCACCTGCTTTTTGACAGTTAATAACTTGTTATTTGAAAATAAAGTAGAAACTCAGTTTCCTAATACAAATACTTTGTGTAATGGAGTAAGAGCAAGGAGGCAGAATTACTTTTTTCATGGTTAATAATTTTATTTATTTATTTTTATTGCAGTATAGTTGATGTGTAATATGTTTCAGGTGTACAATATACTGATTCACAAATTTTAAGGGTTGTACTCCATTTATAGTTATTATAAAGTATTGGCTATATCCCCTGTGTTGTATAGTATATCTTTCTAGCTTGTTTTATACATAATAGTTTTTACCTCTTAGTCCCCTCCGCCTGTATTGCCCCTCCCCACTTTCCTCTCCCCATTGGGAACCACTAGTTTTGTTCTTTATATCTGTGAGTCTGTTTCCTTTTTGTTATACTCACTAGTTTGTTGTATTTTTTAGATTCCATGTATAAATAATATCATCCAGTATTTGTCGTTCTCTGTCTTATTTCACTTAGCATAATACCCTCCAAGTCCATTCATGTTGTTGCAAATGTAAAATTTCATTCTTTTTTATGGGTAATATGCCATTTTGTATATATGTGTGTGTGTGTATATATATATATTTATATCTCACATCTTCCAGTCCAAGAACATGGTATACCTTTCCATCTGTTTATGTCATCTTCAGTTTCTTTCATCAGCATCTTACAGTTTTTGGCATACAGGTCTTTTGCCTCCTCAGGTAGGTTTATTCCTAGTTATTTTATTCTTATTGATGCAATGATAAATGGGATTATCTTACTGGTATTTCATAGATAGTATAAAGAAATGCAACAGATTTCTGTATATTTGTATCCTGCAAAGTTACCAAATTCATTGATGAGCTCTACTAGTTTTATGGTGGCTGCTTTAGGTTTTTCTGTGGATAATATCATTTCAACTGCAAACAGTGACAGTTTTACTTCTTCCTTACCAATTTGGATTTCTTTTATTTTTTCTTGTGTAATTGCTATGTCTAGGACTTCCAATACAATGTTGAATAAAACTGGTGAGAGTGGGCAGCCTTGTCTTAGAGGAAATTCTTATAGATTTATACTGTTGAGTATGATATTAGCTGTGGGATTTTCATATATGGGATTTTCATATATGCCCTTTATTATGTTGAGGTATGTTTCCTTTATGCTCACATTCTAGAGAGTTATAATAAATGGATGTTGAATTTTGGGGACTGTTAAAGGAACTGAGATAAATATCCATAATGTATAGGACCAGGCATCTTGGCCAATGAAAATCCTTAATGATGAGGCTTTCTTATTGCCTAAGCAATGAGATGTAAGTTTCTTATTTAATATACAGTGTTTTTCATAATAATAATGACTCTTGTTCTAAGCCCTTTAGAATACTGACTAATTTAGTTTGCACAACAACCTTAAGAGGTAGATGCCATTTGCATCCTTATTTTACACATGAAGAAATTAAAGAACAGAAAGCTTAAGTGACTTGACCAAAGTTAGCCAGTTGTAAATAATAGAATGGGGATTTCAACCCAGGCCATTTGGCTCTATAGTTCCTAATTTGCAGAATCCTTATCTGACTCCAACCTTGACGTTCTGGTTTTATTAATAGAAATTCTATAAATTGATCTTTGGGTCTTTAATAATCTTCTTCAGCTTGACTTTGGATGAAAAACAAGTAAGAGAAGAAGCCTACTATTTAGGTAAAATGGCATAATATTAAAATAAATCAGAAAACAGAATATTTTACTTATTTATTTTTTTCTCTTTGAAGGGGTAGAATGTATAAGAGGGAATAATATGCAAAATTGGTATAAAAACAAAGTAGAAATTGAGAATATGATGATAAATAGGACCCAGAATCATATAGAGTGGGTAGGGAAAAGATGGACGAAGATGGGGAGATACCAGTTAAGAGACAATTTCAATAGACAGCATTTCAAAAAAATTAAAAGTGTTAAGAACTAGAGAATAGTCTGGAAGAATAGAAAAGGAAGTGTCAGATGCAGAGACAGCATTTTGTAGGTAAAATCCATTGTATATAGCATCTAATTGAACTAGCTGGATAAAGGAAAGGGGTGAAAAAAATGAAATACACTGTATATATTATTAAATCCCCACCAAATCATTTGAGAAAGTCAGTTTCTTTACATTGAGAGCCAGTATGGTATACAGTGGTTAAGGGAGTACATGTGACCTCTTAGTGACTGTTTCCTCATCTGAAATGTGGGGAATTATGCTAATGATTCTAGCTCACACAGTAGTTATGAGGATTAAACTAACCACTGGACCATGACTGGCACATAGTAAACACTATATGATTAAGGCTACCTTGGTTCTCTAAGAGATCAAAATACATTTTTAAGAATAACAAAACTAGTAAGTGGCAGGTAAGTAAATTCCTGCATTATAATATTCTGTAAAATTCATTGTACAAGCCCAACAGTTGATGGGAAAATGACCTGTGGGATTTACTTGGCCTCAAACCTAATATGATGGTATGGTGTTGCATAACTGCTAAAAAGCTAATGCAATCTGAGGATGCATTGATGGGTGTGCAATGCTTACATTAAGGAAGATAATGTTGTTATATTGAGCTGTATTAAATTGTCATTTTGGTAGCTCAGAGTGGTTGAGTGTTGGCAATTTTATGTGGTTCAATTAAATACTCTTGTATTTTGCTCTCGTAGGAGCAAATCTGGAATGTTTGTTTTCAGTTCTCCATTTGAGATCATTGAAATGCCATATATGAGGAGGGCTACCATCTTGAAGAAAGGGATAGACACTATGTCATATTAATGAAGGAATGTTTAACCTGAAAAATGCAAAGACTCTGAGTAGTTATAATAATTGTCTTCAGATTCTTAAAAGTATTTTGATTTAGACATGGGGGTACAGTTACTTGAAGTTGAAACAAGAAAGGAGGAAAGAAAAAATTTGGCTCAAAGGATGAAGAGACAAAGGCATATTTTGTTCACTGTGGGTAAGACCTTTGTAACATTTAGAGTATTCCATGGTAGAATGGGTTTCCTAGAACAGTATCCTGGAGCTAGAACTATAGTGGATGTCCTGTCCTGTATTCAAACAGCGGTTGGACTAATTCATCAGGAAAAAAACTGGACTTAATTAGTTCTAATTACTTGCAACTCTGATTTTATGATGCTATAGAAGTCATAAAGAGTTTTGCACTCATATTATCAATTATTCCCATTATCTTTTAAGTACTGAGCATATTTTACAAAATAATAACAAGAACCACTCTAATAATTATCCTCAGTGTATTTGGAATTAGACAAGTAAAACAATATTTTAGATATTTTAGTAAAAATTTAAAATATATTCATCCATTTATCAATTTGACCTGTATTTATTGGGTGCCTATCCTGTAGCTGCAGTGGTGGAAAAAATTTTAAATAGACAGTATTTTTACCTCAAGGAGCATAAAATATAGTTGAAGAGTTTTACCAGCAACTTCAGTGTGACTATACAATCCATTTACTGATTGAGGTATCAATACTGTGTCAGTAACATAGTGGTCATGTTTGTATTTGAATTTAGATGTGTTCTGGAAAAGTATGTATTCACTAGCCACATGATTTTATGTTCTGGGATGAATTACTTTTATACAGTAAGGAGAAATTAAAAAAAGAAAAAAAAATGGGCTTCCCTGGTGGCGCAGTGGTTGAGGGTCCACCTGCCGATGCGGGGGACGCCGGTTCGTGCCCCGGTCCGGGAGGATCCCACATGCCGCGGAGCGGCTGGTCCCGTGGGCCATGGCCGCTGGGCTTGCGCGTCCGGAGCCTGTGCTCTGCGGCGGGAGAGGCCACAGCAGAGGGAGGCCCGCGTACTGCAAAAAAATAAATAAATAAAAAAAATTTTAAAAAGCTTAAAATATGTGGAAACAAATGCTCCAAATAAAGTGATAAAAAATTATTTAAAACTGTAGTGGTAATCTGCAGTTTAAAAATTATATCTGACACTATTACAATTACCTGCATACAAAAAATTCTATCTAATGATTGTGAATTGTCAAAGTAATTTATCTTTTAAAACTAAAACAATATTTCAGTGCATAATAATTTGGAGCTAGAAATGATAAAGTGCCATGAATTATGAAAATATGAAAACCTCTTAGTGGTGAATGGAAATAGCAAAGTCATGTCCCTAAGGATGCACACATACTTGGCTTTGAGAGGTTCTGAAAATGTTGCAATTAATTTCTTTGAGTTAAATTTTAGTTATCCATAGGTCATCTATTTTGTGAATTACTTTT